AAGTGAAATAATATTCGTTGCAATATTTTGGCTGTCACAGTTTATCAGTTTTGAGACGAAAGGTCGCTTCTTTGTTATCTCATCCACTTTCGGAGAGACGGGTAAATAAAACTGAGATTTTGTGACGTAATTTTTAGATGGTGTTGGTAATTTTGTGCAATACAAATATGACTCGACATTTGGCTGCTGCTCTGAAGCAGATCTCCCGGTGTAACTCTAGGTGCTTTCTAGGTTTTATATATATATAGATGGATTGATGTTTCGGCTTATAACCTCCAACTGTCTGGCCAATAGAAACACGCATATCTGGCTGATGTAAGATAACATTGAACAAAGGACGTTGCACAATTCATGGGAGCTTTCGCTTTGTGCAAAGCAGTAGCCACGACAGTTTTTAAGCTAAGGAATTATTTTAATCGCTTGCTTTTGTTTGTAAGTAAGAGTTATCTGTAACAAAGTCAATGACCTGAATACAACAGAAATTAATGTCGAAAGACGAGCTAGATGCTGAAAGAAAGCCAGTTTTTCTGGCGGCGAGACGTAGGCACCACAATGTAGCCTACTCGTCAGTCTTTGAAATGGACCGTGGCATCAGACTACCGTATATATAGGGTGATTTGAAAGTTCCTGTTCACCTGTTAGAACTACGTGTTGGAGGACGTGGGAATTGACGCACGCGACTTGTGACACATCACGTGCGCCACCTAGGGTATGGGGTCCCTTTCATTGAGTTAAAATGCGGCCGGGGCGTGAAGCTGACCACTCACCCCAATCTAGTGCCGAGGCCAAGAAGGAGTAGGTGCTATATACTGTCCACAGATCACGAGAAAAACCCTGCTGGGTGAAGTCGTTTCTGGTGCGGTGCGGGAGGAATGTCACTTATCAGCTGGACTAGAGGGCTGCTATTGGTGGGAAGTGCGATACGTCAGAGCTTTACGCTACTACACACAGACTGAAAACATCAAGCCGTTAAGAGTAGCGTGTAGTGAGTGCACTTCTAATGTGTTCTGTGGGTGTTGCGATAATATTCTAGATTCAATCACTGTGCCACTGTGAGGTAATCTTAAAGCTGTACCCATTAGAACACGTTAAAGCCTGTCGTCTGTTGTTCGTTCAGTGGTTGTGGAACTAATGCTTTTAGGATGGGTCGTCACTCACCGCGAAATCTTGCGCATGCTCGTATATCGAATTCCTAGCAGGGATTTTCTCCTGATCTGTGGACTGTACCTCTTCTCTGCCCAAGCACTACCATGGCATGTAGCGGTACAGCTCTATCTTACTGTTCTTTAAATTACTTTATCTTACCATTACTTTTTGTGTAAAATGTGTGAGAGAAAAGTTACTAAACCCATACCTCAGTCTCAGAGAATTGATTAGGGCATTCCTCTTAAAAGCTAGTGCTGTAGGGAGGGAATGAGATAGGTTCTGTATTGATTGGTTGGTCTGTACAAGGAAGAGCAGCTACGAGGCAATTTTCTCGTCTGCCCTTCCTTTAATTTCAAAGCGATACGAAAGTCTGCATTGTGAACTCCATGCCTTGACGTCACCTTTGTTGGCATTATAACGATAGACGGAATATGGTAGCATGACTATGTGATATCTCATTGATTAGCGGAGCTATAATATCACATGGTGCATCCGTACGATTGAGTATGATTATTCTAACCAAACTCTGTGTGTTAGGACATGTACAGTAATAAATGACAGTTTTCTGGGAACATTCTCAGGTCAGCACCCGTTATTCTTGTTTGTTATGCCCATTGTTCGCACTTTTAAGTGCTGGCAGGAAGTAGCATTAGAAAATGTATCTGTAAAAGGCTGTAATGAAGTTAAAAATAATGTTTTGTAATGATAGAGTTCATGGCTTCGACCATAATTGCAGATGATTCAAGAATACGGAAAGGATTATTACACCATTCTTATTCTGTCTCAAATGCACATTGTGGATTAATTATTTGACAAGACAAAATGCAACCTGCAGTAAAGTAGGAACATTAGACGTTCCTTTATATGATTCAGTAGGCTGGAACTTTTAAATGCGTATGGGATTTCGTTACTTTTATAATTCACTTACCTCTACAAATGGTTTAATGTAATTTTTTCGCATTAGGCTATACAAATGCGGCATTTCAGTTTATAAAATATATCAGAGGAAGTGATATGTAGCACGCATGGAAGAGATGAGAAATGCATACATTTTAGTAGGAAATCCCATTGTTCGTTGTTTGTTGGGCCTCTTTGGTGAGTCATATTCCTTGAAAAAGTGGTAAGACATTGCAAATATGAGCGTTATGCGTCACGAATCAGTTCCCAGAAGTAAATTTAATTGTACTGTGTTGATATGTAGGCAAATGATGCATTCCAAGTGACCACGTTAGTGTGAAACAGATCTGGCATGATTTTATCTTGCACAATTTGATAAAAATATTTTCGAGCAATTCGCAAAAGCTTCATTTGAATATCTTTGACGCTACGTTTGAATAGTTCGTTTCTTACTTTATTAACAAATAATACTACTCGTTTTAAATGACGAGATTTAAGGTGTCTGTATACAGTACAACGTTGTAGAAATACGTTCTCCCATTCGATAGGCAACAAAGATATTGGCGAATTTATTTCAGCCTCAATCTAATTGAATGGGTGAGTGGACAGCAGATTTAAATAATGTTTCTGGTGTCCTGCATGCGTGTATAAACATGTGTGTATGTATTTACACCAGTATATAGTTAACATTAAAAGTATTTGGTTTATGGTATTTTTCCCAATCGAGGAAACCTCCGGAAAAGAACAGAAGGAGAGCATTAAAATGGACCCCAAGGAAAATAGTATATTAATTTGGACAATGATTTTGCTTATGGTTTGCTTTTGTTCTTCCGGCTATGAACTCTTGGATTTCGTAGTACCAAGGAATGATTTAGGTTTGGTATTACCGAGTGAATTCTGCTGCACAGGCAAAAGTCGATGTTTAACGCGAAAGGTTAAAGAAGAAATTGAGTAAAATATCTGGAACTTTTTACACCTTTTGTGGTTGTCACACTTTACTTCGTTAACTTTTTCATTGCCTCTTGCTAGCTTTCACAGTATGGATAAAATGTTGTCATAACTTTCTCTAAGGAAATCGTCCTTTGTTTAATTTATAATTATGTAAATATACCTGTTTGTATTGATAGGTTTTAAATGAGTTGTTATATTCCCCGAAACGAAGTGTTCTTGCTTCTTAAGACTTAGGATAAAAGTGTGTTAAATTCCCTAGTCAAAGTCCGTTTTGTGGTTCTAAATTTGTTTCATGCAGACAGTCGGATGTACGAAAATGTCGAAGATAAATGAACATGTTTTAGGTTTTGTTAGGAACGCACCTAAAACGCGGACAAACGCCAGTGTCCTTAGCCATGTAGTGCGACTTAAGCTGTTCTTTAACCTCTGGACCGAGTATCTGTATTTATCTTCTGTCGGTCGTAATGTTTTCCTTGAACACTTAGAAACATGTTTATTGCGTTTTCAAATAGTTACGTTTCATGTGTACTTCAATCCAGTGTTGAATAGTGAAACTAGTCGGTGTGTGCGGACAAAGCAATTTGTGACCCCATTATAGAGCACGGATAGTCCCATCTACGTGACTGCCGGTGCTGCATATCATTAAAAGACGCACACTTGAAACACTTTCTTCATTGCTTAGTTAACTCTGTCTCTTCTCTTCATATGGTAACTGTACTTTGTTTTACCTTAACCCAGATACGTGAAGTTAAATGGGGACATACCTAATTGTAGGCGTGTGCAATGACTTGATTAATTCTAGTGGGTTTAAATTTGTTTCCTAGTGTGAAACTGCATTCCAAACCAAGGTCTTTGATGCAGCACTGGATTTAAATTTCACTGTTCACGGCTTCTTGGTATTTTACCAGGTTTTTTACTTTCGTCTCTTGGCATGTAAATTAAACGTTACGTTTTGTAATTAAGTCTTTCGTTTATGAAAATTAATTGCTATTTCAAGTACGAAGTATGAAACGAGAGAAAGTTTCTGTATGCAGTGAGTACACTCACTGCAGTTGATTGTAGAGCAGTTTAGTAAAATGTCAGTGAGGCGTTACCGTGGTTAGCATTCATTGGGTGTTGCATGTTGGCTTGTTTTGTTTTACTAGAAGTGTGACGTGTCATAAGTCGTGTTTGTTTACGTGTTTGGGACATTCTACACTGTCCTACCCCTTGAACTTCATGTATGTATGGGTGGCAGTGTATGAACTGCTTAATATTTAATTCTTGTTCCTTGCTTATGTAACTGATAGTCTCGAATTAAAGCTCCATGCAGTGGCGTTTATGTAAGGATGATGATGCAGGTTATTGTGCGTTTGTGGTTCTTTTCCCCAGACAAAATTCCATTGTTTTGTTACACAATTTCCTTATTTGATTATTGCCATGCGTCATTTCCCTTTAATAGGAATTCTGTTGCGCCGTGCTTGTTGTCGTGATGCTCAACACGTCTCACGGCCAAGCACAAGTTTCTGCGTAGTTAACTTTGGTATAGAAATGGTGTGAAGAAAGCGTGTTCGTATGCAGAACGGCAAATCTATTTGTAACAGACCTAGGGGACGCTTGAAAGAGGCTTAAATCGCAAATTTCATTCCACAGAGAACACGAATTTGATTTGAGCTTTGTCACCATGAATCATCTCAGCCATGATTGTGAGTGCTTTGATTCGGTGATCTGCTTGAATTCGATTTATTCAAAGTAGAATAAGTTTAGCAACCGCGAGATGCTGACAAGTTAAGAGTAAAGAGGACAGGAAATGCAGTCGTACGTATCGTAACAATTCTGATGCTTTCGCAGTGTTCATTGCCTTAAGATTATCTGTTCGAAAATGGCAAATTTTGTGTAATTATTCTGAAACCGTAATATTTGCGGGAAAGTTGTATTAGGAATAACAAGTGTTTAATTTTTCTCAGAAACTTATGTTAAAACATTTTTGTTTTTTCCAGAGACTTATTTTTTTACATTTGTTTCAGATCGGATGGCACCGAATCACCTCTACTGGAAGAACATGAAGTATCGAGTCCGGCACATAAACCCAAACAGATCACAAAGTATGGCGAGCTTACCATCTTAGGGTGAGTATTATCAGTTTCACAGACATTGAATATCTGTTATCTGTTTGTGTATTGGATTTGGAATCGCAAAACGGTAAAACTCGATCCATGCCGTTTTAATAAGTCTGGAACAGTAACTCCAGAATCATTTCTCACGTTTTTTATCTTTATAGAAGAATTTCTTTGAAAGTATATATTGGCTTGATAATGTTTCGTTGGTTGACTGTCTCTTCGTCTTGACATATGAATAAAAGGCTGTGTGAGTAGCCCTTTATATAAAATTATTCTTTTCCACTGATTATCATCAAACAATAAACAGTAAGTAGAGAGATTATGGCTTTCGCAGAGGCGGTACGAGTTTATAAATCACAACACTAGAATGTTCACGTTTCACAAATATATCACGATAATTTCGAAGTTCTACTTTGAATAATTGCATACTATTGTCTCATCTCAGATGACCTACACCGTCAAATTAGATGTGACCAATGTTTCACTGAGAGTGTGGCGTAGCAAACTGGCGAGTTTACAAATTTACAACTTTCCAGGCCTTAATTGAAAGGTGCAGAGTTACTTAATAAGTCTTTCAGTCATGCCTGTTGGTTACGAGACATTAGTGTGTGACCTTGATACCGTAATGCTATGGTGTACAGACCGTCATTTTCAACAGGGAAAGCGTTTTGTTTTCCTTTCCAGAAACGAGGTTGTGAGAAATGTATCAACAGTTCTAGTTGGGATTCTTAATGTTGGTTTCGCTAATGTTGCACTTTTTCTTTTCAGTAACATACTTTCCAAAAGTGTCACACAAAATTTAACCCCTCTCTGTTTTTGAGCTTTTTTTTTTATAAAACATGAAACATGCTGGAACGTATTCTTTGAATTTTGATGAAAATTTGCGTGCTAGAAGCTGATACTTAATCACTAAATGTAATTTGGATTATATTAACCCGTGGTTGACAGACACTTGAAAGACAAGCCGTGATGTTATGCGACTTATATGGTACATATTGCGCCACCTACTCTCAGAATCTTGGGCAAACAAAGAGTTCTTGCCTTCAATACGCAGCAGAAACTGTATTGGTTCAGTCTTCATTACGTCATCAGAGGAGGAGAATGTTTTGTTCCTCAGATGGTGCTGACGTCAACAGAAAAGGAAAATACAGTGTTATGTAGGTAGATCTCATCAGCTCTGTGAATTTGTCGCAAGTAATTAAATGCAGATGAGACATTTCGGTCTTTCTGTAGGATTTCACGTTTTTAATTCGTGTGTGTGTAGTCGGAACAAAAAAGGACACCATTTCAGTTCAGAAAAGAGGCTTCAGATAGCATAGAACTCTTCGTTTGTTCATTGGAAGTCCAGCTTAAAACAACGGTATTTATCGGTGAAACCATAGTTTCCAGTTTTATGAAAACGATTTCATGAATCCGGTTTCCTCTTTGTGTGTGGAATGTGTGACCCGCTTTAAAAGCCACTAATTTAATTTTGTTCACGTCGATAATTAAAGCCTGGGACGACGGTGGCATTGATAACAGTAAAACAATAATCCGGATTGTTTCATAGTTCTTGCTACGCAGTACTTGTGCGTGGCAGTGCCATGCTAGCACAGCACGCATCTTGTACCAACCATCCAATCAATATTAACAGAGGCTTCCTATTTTCCTGTCCGTTCCCCTCCAGGTTCATTTCAGGTCAGTTCAGTGCCAACTTTAATATATGGTACAATCGATAGTAGAATGAGGACACGTGCGTGTTTACTTCCGGTCGCCTGATCAGTATCTTTTCATTTGGAAAACAGTTATATTCACGTATAATAAACGTAGATAAACGCTGTAGGGGGCTGTGGAATTATACGTATTTACCGACATACAATATTATCTGACACTTGATAAGGAAGTAACTCTGAAAACTTATCAAAAGAAATACCAGATTTAGGTTTTGTCAACCTGCCTCTTGCCTTCCTCCGAATTTTTAGTCATTTTGGCTATGTTATGATTTAAAGTTAACTTGCAATAGGTTATAAATATTGTAGTTAATGATCAAACACTTGATCCAGAAAAATATTGTGCTCCATGTAAGATGCGAACAGCGAACCGGATACAAGTTACTATACATAGAACTGTGAGTCTTGACGCACAGAACATCCACCCAGTTTCGTCGTCTGATGTAAACATTCACGACCTTCCTTTCTACGAAATCAGCAATCCATGTAAAGTATATGTACGTGCTGTCGCTGAGCTTATATGCTCGATTTTGGTATATCATTCGGTTAAGTTTGCCAGTTAGAACGGAAAATTGTTCGTAACAAATCGTAATTTTTTCCAAATGAGCGATCAGGATTTGTAGAAAATCCTTAACGAATTCATAGATCCTGTACCACTCCAACTTTCTTCAACTGCCAGACCACAAGTTGTACAGTCCGCGACTGTAATCTTGAGACTTGCGGAGTGAGGAAGTGGGATGAATAAGGAAAGATAGCGTCTCACTTTAACGCTTCGGACTTCCTGGATTCCTTGCAAGTGTCAAAATTACGATCTTGTACTATAATTGTCTTACTGTTTTCATAAGGTTCGTGCATGAGGATCAAAATACGCGTTTCCTTCCTTCTGAACGTTGGGCCTGTGACAAATAATGCTTTGTATATGAATTATTTCCGCGATTAAAATCTCGTCTTCTTCATGTATTCACTACTCGTGCCACACAAATGGCGCAAACAGAGGTATAAACATAACGCGCATTATATTGTGTGATGAGAATACAACCGTATCCTTGCGACCGACTGTGGGTTGTAACGTAGTTGAACAGTAGTTGCGATTTAAATGTAAGGTAAGGTTTCAGAATTTTCACTCCCACATATGTTTAACGTTAATTCGTACCTGTATCTCCATCCATCCGTTATTCTACTTGATGGTTAAAAGTAAAAACTACCGTTATCAGAAACATCTGACTCCACATAAGAGGTGCGTCGGTATTTATTCAGCTGTTCATTGTGCAGATATATTTTTTGTTCTGTTTCTGCTGTTTTAACTCTTTACCGGACAGTTGTAACCTAAATGTGCCACAAAATTAAACAGTCAGTGACTCAGAATTTTGTTTGTACTGTATTCATTGGTTTAGTATGATTATCGTAATAAGTAGCGCGTATTTCCCTAAACAGCACAAACCGTTTGATTTGTGGGATGAAAACACGTGTTCTCTTTTGATATAGGAGCCGGTGTTTGAAATGCTATTTAGATTAACTTTGTGTTACAAAGGTTAGCAAATATAACCACTGCTGACGCACGAAGGCATATACTGTATCATTCTGCAGCATACATGGGTCAAGATAACAAAGACTTTACAGTACGTAAGAACAGAATGGTAAGGTACGGAATTATTTCAGGAACTGTATACGAAAACATTGATGGAAGTATTTCCCAGGGGGAACGAAAAATTTTATAAACGCACTTTGGTAGCCTCATAAGAAAAACGTAAATGACGCATTTGAGAACAAGTGAAACAAGGACAATGTTTCGTACGCGCCCACAGTATGCCACTTGAAGCCGGACACGAATCTGTTGAGTTGAAATCATTCTCTGTTCTGAACTAGGGCAACTGGTTGGTTGATCTGAAATGGAACAAAGTTCAAGTGAACAGTGTAGCACGAGGTTGGTGTGAAACTTCGTTCACAATGCAGGGCTTGTACAAACAATGTGTAGAAATATCCATGAAATATTTTAATTCATTATTTTTTCTGTAAATGTATAAATTTTAGGCCAACACTTTCGATTACGTTCTGGTCCGCGACAGGTGATCAGGTAGTCGTGTTCTGGGCTGGTTGCCATTCACACTTCTTGCAGGCGCACAAGTCAGTGATGCCCTTCCTTACAGCCAAAAATCTGTGTTTGATTCTTTCCCTGGTGAATATATTTTTTGTTATTTCCATGGATCATTTTATGTTCTATTTTTGAGAGGCGTGGTAGTGAGTGAAGGAGTTGTGAACGGAGTTTTGTTGAACTTTTGTTATGCGTACAAAGCAGTGTTCTGCAACGTTTTGTCACCCGCGACGCACTTTAATTTATCAAAGACATATTACGGACGGCACACAACAGAATGTCTCCTCACGAAAAGCAAAGCCTACCACTTCTCGTTGTAGGCCAGTGGAGATAGACAGACGTGAATGAATATGTGGATGCTGGATCAGGAGTTAACGGGAAGAAGGTGTTAACTACCAGGAGTGGAGTAGGAATACAGGAACAGCTGATTCACCATCTTGTAATAGATCATATTGAATGTGATTCAGAAATTAAACTTTGTCTTATATGTCGGATTCTAAGTTATAGGAACTGTTTTCCCATTAATTGAGTAAACAGGGCGAGTGGATATTATACCAGTATTGACGTTCTGAAAACTGGTCTAGTATCCAACGTTGGTCACATGAATATGTGGTATTGATTCCAGCCCTTTTATAATGTTTTATTTTTGTATGTGCGCCCATTTCGTCGCATGTGCCCTTCATGCTCCTGTATGCATACACTCTGTATTCTTGGCAGCCTATCGGTCGATATAGACTGGTAGCTATTGATCCTTCACAGAGCGAGAATTCTGTAGACCCCCACCAGCAACCTACCTGACACGAAGCCAACGCTTAAAATTATAATGGAAATGGTCCGTTGTTCTAATCACACTGACGCTGCACTGTATCGGTTTTGTACAGTTAATATCAGGTGGGACAGTCGCGTGGAAGTTATAATGGATTTATGATAAATTAGAAGATAACTAGACGGGATTTGAATGGAACGTTGAGTAACATGCACTTCGTGTGGCAGATGTATTCGCGTTGCTATCTTAAAAGGTATTTGTGAATGAGACATATATATTTGTGTATTTTATTTTAATACGTGCCTGTGTATGCATTACTGGACGTGGCTGTTATTTGTATTGTTAAATATTTTAATTTGCCGTACTATATGTATATACAAATTTTGAATAATTTATTTTTTATTCGTTCTAACATGCAGTAGCGTTTGTACGAAGATCTTATTTCATAGTTAAGTTTCAGTCACTAGAAGGGCATAAGCGCTTCTTTATAAGATGGTTCGGTTGTCTTTTCCCAAGCAGAAAACATGCCTGATAATGCTTATACGCGTGTTAATGGGAATATGATGTAAGAGACCTTGAAATGAACTTAGTTTCAGTTGGTGTCGGGACTATTGGTTTTAAAATTATTGGTTGTATTATTGTTAACTACTGATATTGCTCAAATAGTTGAATAAGTTGCGATTGTCTAAGCATTTAACTCTAATCGGGGAAACGAACTCATAAAGGATGTTGGTGGGGAAAAACCATGTAGCAAGTTGCTTCTTGGAAGATAAAATTCAAATACGAGGTTACGCTAATATGGATCGTACTTGGCCTGTAGTTGTGTTTACTGAATTTATGTTTGCATCAGTGGCGTGTCTCTTTTAGCGCTAAACGAGGTTTTTCGTAATCGAAACTGGACCTGCATAACACCGGAAAGCGAATCATACCAGCTGATACATCAGGCATGGGGAACTGTTCGAGAACAGAGTTGTTGTTTTTTTCACACCATGTTGAGCCTTTTCTGGGTCTCTGCAGCTACATTGATTTTATGTTGGCTGCAGCCGACGTTGCCTACGAACCGTTTTTGCCCAGAGCTGGTGAAGTGTGTAAGTGGATTTAATTGAGATCACACTGGCGAAGCGTGATAGATGGATTCCATTTCGCGCTGCATACAGCGGTGGTGTCAGAATCGCCTTCATTACACATTCATTCCAATCGAATGCTGAAACCATAAATATTTAAGTTGAAATAAAAATACATTGTTATTTACTATTCTACTTAACCGTCTTGGGGTATTCAGTTTTAAATCTTAAAAGTGTGGTGATATCGCAGAACTGTACTTGACTGGTTAAGAAACTGCTAGCTTCTCTACGACTCTGCTCTATGAAGTTTTTATGAGTTGTAAATATGAACATGGACCAGATATTGTGTATTTACCAGGCATTTTGACAATGTAATTTATGTGGCAGACGTTAGTAATGCTGCAAACAAACTACATCTTTTATTGTGTCATTCCTTCAGAAGAATATCTGTATTTACCAAGCTCGTTTTTATTCTAACGAATTATATTCGACATGGAGCTTCAGTACAAATGGACACATTAGTTAATTTGTTCGTTTGTTTAAGGTCCACCGAGTGACACTGATTGTTTGAATGAATTAAACTTAAAACAGAGAAGCATGCATCTTGTTCGCGGCGGTTATGTAGGCATACAAGTCTGATTTGGTTGGGAGTTACATGTTTATGAAAACGGCTTGCGTTACTGATTTCATGGAACAGAGTCCTCCTTGAGAATCTAATGGTGCTTTGGAGTACTGAGGAAAATTCCCGACTTTTATGGAACTCCAGAGATTTATTACAGTGTTAGCAAGAGCCCACCACCGGTTCCTATCGTAAGTCAGATGAATCCAATCCACGCTCTCCTACCCTCCTTAAGACCGATTGTATTATTCCTCTTCCACGCCTAGGTCTTCCTCGTGATCTCTTCTCAGGCGTTTCAGCCAAAATTTTCTGTGCACTCGGGAGATGAAATCTTAATTGAGGTGAAGGAAGTTTCTCTTCAAACAATTTTTGAAACATCCATATTACGACAGCTTTCATATGTACGTTTTTACTAAGCCCTAAACTTTAGGTGTTAGAATGCTTCATTATCGACGTCCTGTCCTTGTGGAAAGACAGTTCCGAAGGTTATTTAGAGCCTGACCAAGGCAGGGTGGGAAATACTGGTTTTGAAATTAAGAGCGCGATTAGATGTTCTCACGTCCACGTACGAATCTGCGGCGAAGCAATCAGAAACCAAAATGCTTTATCGGTCATAAGCAGTCGGAACACCAAACTTGGCTGCAGTGTTTCATGCAAATTTTTGTCAGAGTTCCCAGCTTTGCACAATCACCGTTCTCTGTCATTTACTTAATAATTTCCAGTCCTTATATATTTTGTCCTCCCACTCATACAGTTATAAATAATTAAAGCTACACATAACAGATTTATATTGCTCATACATTGCGACAGATGGCGCACACAGAATTAGCGTGCAGTACAGTGTGAGGCGTTAACATTGGATTAAAAGAGATATCGCTCAGTGACAGAAGATGCATACAACTGGCAATGAAAGGTCGTTCGCTGTAGAAGTGATTCTATTATACGAGGACTTTGTACTTTACATTGCTGTTCTGTTACATTTGCTCTTGCCGTGATACAGAGAAGCGAGATGTTCGAAATAATTCCACAGAGTATAGTTTGTCACTTGACTTTTAAGTATTCGAATTGCCCATAAGACTAGAAGCATCGCAAACAGATTTTCGCTTCCTGCTATACGATTGCATACATTTAATATTTTTCCGAGATGCATTTGTTTAACTCTTTACGTGTTTCGATGTCTCCTATTGCATATTGATGGATTTACATGAGTTACGTCAACGAAAACCATATTTCGTCTCTCTGCTCTGTGTTAGAGGAAGTCCCAAGTTTTATATTGCTTTTAATCAAAAGCGCGTATAGTTTTATGTGCGTAATCTGTGAATTTCTATTAACTAATTTGGGTCTGGATGACCCAACCGCTGATGACCATTTGGGGGCTGGATGACCGAAGTCCAGAATCTGGTTATGGCCTTCTTTTGTTTTCACTGTCGTCTTTTCTGAAGACGTACCGACCAAATAAAGTTCGTTTCCCTTTTCGTCTATTTTATGGGGTCTAACAATTGTTACGTCGTCAATGCAGCATGTTTCATGAACGGTCTATAAAGCAGTTTCTTCTTGCTTTTATCCGCGGTGTCGTGTATGTTGAAGACACATGTTTCATGAACGGTCTATGAAGCAGTTCCTTCTTGCTTGTATCCGCGGTGTCGTGTATGTTGAAGACTTCGGCGTATCAAAGTGACGAGTTGACCCAGTTCCTCTACTCTTCCTGCGCATAATCTGCTGCTGACTGTACTTTCTCTTTTTTGACTAAAGATAACCTACATCCAAGTTAAGGTGGACTATGAAAGTACATAAATTATCCTGTCTTTGTCTTGCCAGCCTGGGGTTCTTTATTTGAGTAGACAGGCATTACATATCCAGAACTGTTCGTGCACGAGACCTGGTGTTCAGTGAAATGAATATGACCTCCTTCGGCGATTTTATTCGTCTTATGGCAGTCAGACCGTTACAGAGGAGCGGCTTCAGATAAATGGAACACTTGACAAAAATGTTTGATGCCCTGTTGTATAAAAAAAGTACGAAATCAGATTTAGTGGTAGTAATATGACAGTAATTGGTCTGGGCCTTTTACGGATCAAGTACTCAGTACAGCCGTTATATTCTTTGGGAGCGTGTGAGTTCGCCTGTTCTCTGTGTACGTTGCGTTTCTACCTGTTATAAATTCGATGAGCAGTATTGCATTTCAATGTCATGTTTCTGGGTACGGAAAGCCTACTTTCAGCCTATAGTTCCAGCAGTATCTTACAAATTAAATGAAATAATTGAACGGAATTGGGTGGCCAAAAAGAATACTAAAGAAAGTAATATGGGCAGGATGAGAGAATGGCTAGGAGGAACGAAAAAAGAGAACGAACTAAATGGAAAAAGAAACGTGTGATTGTCAGTGTTCAGTTTCTCGTTAAGAGTAATTGTTTCTCTAGTTTTCCCGAGGAAGATCTGTTTGTTTCCCGTTAAACTGAATTGTTTGCAAGGCTGGTGATTTACGTTGATCCTTCGAGGGAATCTGAATCTAGTGTCGTGTAAAATGGATCCATTGCTGCATTCTGGGTCATAGGCTTATCATTGTAGATAAGTTATAACGCAGTGGGCGTACAAATCTGAAGCTCCGTGTACTTTGTTAAGTTCGTGTGCATTTCGCGAAATCTCCTGGAAGTATACCAAGATTCACACTAGCTTTTAGATTTCTTTTGGTGTTCACTATCGAACGAAGACTGACGTACATTACAAACCACAAAACTCGAGATTGTATGAAGAATAACAGCTTGTTAATTACCAGTATCTGTGGGTAAATATTTACATTCGTACTGTTTACTGATGTTTTCGCTTTCATTTCACGCTTGTTTTTATCTTCGAGTAGGTTTCAAGGCGACGTACGATTAACACACTTTAATTATCTCTGCTGGAATTCGTCGTTACTCTTGTATTTGTGTATCTGAACAGGAAGAATTAACAAGTCACAAATTGTATCATGAAACGTGTGACGTTTTCTTTATTTACGTACTTTGTAAAGAATATTGCTTGGAGATTATTTCTGCCATAACTACCATATTTTATATCATCTTTTGTCTTGATACGTAATGGAAGCGATGTATTTAATACAAAATGCCACACTGTATTACATAACTACTCGCTGGAAATTGTATGCAATTGATGCAACTTGTCTGTTAGCAAATGTCATGTGCATCATTTAACAGACGGGTTCGATAACGCCATGGGACTCCTGATTTGGAGTTCGTGGGTTTACTCGGGCTTCTCCACTTGAATTCTGTCAGTGCCGGGAGCGGAAGTGCACGCTGTGCAGAGCTGCAAAATGTGCGTAATAGACCATACATCGTCGTGTGTATGTGGGTGGGTGGTAGACTCGTCGGCGTCGAAGGCTATTTGCGCTTTATACAATTTAGTTTAAAAACAAAAACCTGTGCCTCGGTGTTGTGAAATTTAACCCTATGCGATGTGTCGCCCAGCAGTATATGCTAAAGGTCAGTAATAATATGACTGTAGTAATAATAATACAGGCAGGCTGTATGGAGAGCTTTCAGTAAGTTTAAAGTACAAAATTACAAATTACAAAACCAGTAGATTAAAAAAAAGGTAACCGTATGTCTGGCTACTAAAAGTAACCAGCAGTTCGTAGTCGTTACTTCTTTAATCTACGAAAATGTTGTACAGGCCTATTAGTGGTTGATAGACTTGTGCTTACTTGTTTTCTTGTCTTGTATGTTGCAGATATAATGGGTTCCTGCCACCGGGCGACCGAGGTCGCAGGAGAAGTAAATTTATGTTGTACAAGAGGTCATCGGCTAACGGAGTCAAGCGATCAAAGCACTATGTTGTCAAAACACCACATTCCTCCCAGGTAGGCGTTACTCCTCAAGTTGTAGGTGGGAAGTTCAAAGTGCGATGTACCAGTTTTGAAATTAATGCTCAAAGAAGAAGAAATCGTCCCATGATGCTCAGCTGTCGATGAAAAAGTTATGGTGTCGTACTGATAAGACCGATAACGTTTCCTAATTGTGGTTCACTCGTTGCTTGTTTCTTGCAGCATGGTGACATGCAGTAAATAACTTGGTAAAATTGTGAGTTGTACGTTTATTGACGACGTTTTAAGTGTTTGTCATTAGACCAGTAAGTGATGGTTAGTTTCTGAACAGCAGTAATAAGAATGAAGCTTATGTACTCGAGCTGTTCAAATTTGACTTGGAATATTTAGAAAATTCCCGGTCCACATTTAACTACAATAATGTTGTCTACCTTGAGTCTCAGAGCCCAGGGGTTTCCCACCAAATATCCCGTAGTGCTTAATAGAATCGACCTACACCGTATAGCACACATTGTGTTCTGTGATTGTATTTGGTAATTTCTTTGCAAAACTCGAAATATGAGGATATTGAACTTCAAACTATAGAAAATCACTTGTTCCCTTTATATCCTGGTGTGTAGTGGAACATTCGCCCTTGATTTATGGTAGCAAATCCCGGACTTCTACCCCAGTATAATATATTGACAGGCAAAGAGGTTGCCTGTCGCGGCAGTTAAATATTGCCAAAAACATTCCCAAGTCTTCCTTTGCTGCTGCTTTTTAAGAAATTGTAGCGTTGGTTTCACGAAGACACGTTACAACGTGCTTTTCGTCACGGTATGCACTGAGCAGCCAAATTAATTATCTGCATTCACTGCGAATCAGATCTGACTCCGTTTCTATGGACGTAGCTCAGGGTTTATTTCTCACAAGGGTGTAAATACTTTTCTCGGAATATCTTCACCAAGATTCTTTATCTCATAGATTGTTGCAGGAGATTGACCATTGATTGAGCCTTCGTTTATTTATTTGCCCGTAAGTTTATGAACTTTGTGTGAGAGGATGAATATAAATAATGAATTTAAATGTGTAAGGGAGCGTTCGTCATGGTTTCGTGGATTTACTGAGGAAAATTTCGAAACGTATCGGGACGACAGTCTTCAGGACAGGAATTGAACTCGTGATCTGCATGGTGCATATCAGGAGGTCGCCATTTCGTACCAAAACCGAGTCTCAGAGAGAATGTTTATATTTTCTCGCACAGACGATGCAGACTCGGTATTGTTATGGTGACTGTAAAGGGAGAAACTGTGAGCGAAGTCATTAACCCAAAAGGGATGTGTTTTGAGGGTGCGGTGAAGTGTGGCGGAAACTGCCTACTTGGGTCTTAATACACCGCCAGGGCCAATTTACGATAATAGGCCACTAGTATTCTGTTGCCGTAACAACAGGCTAAACGTCGCTTTTTTTTATAATTTTGATAACACATTAACATCAGTTAATTGTTCTAATTTAAGTCTGAATGAAACGTCGGTAAGTATCTACCAGATTACTTGGTCATCGTCCCACAAGTCAGCCATCTTCATTCTCGTTGCCGCGAGAACCTCGTATCTAACAAAATATGTTTGGTTTTAGTTTTTAGAAAATTAATGTGTTTACCCCTAATCTACACAATATATTGTGTTCTAGATACAAGCCGAACGGTCATTGGCCGGTTTTAATTTCTTGATTTGCGTTAAACCCATTAGCCATGATTTTCTTCCGACAATGCTGAATTATTTTATTCGTAACTTGGAGCCCGTTTGCATAAAGTGCACAGGTAACTGTTTTAACGGTATGCACTGGTTTGGTGGTAAACCAGGACAGTAATTTTTTTGCTGAGAAGAATGTACGAATTGGTTTCTTTTGCTTTACGTTTTGTCTGTACTGGACTCAGCATTTAGGTTAGGACCGTTATTAACTACTGCATAAGAAGTGCCTGACATGCTGTTCCTGAAAATCTGAGAGATTCTCCCCCCTCCCTCGAGTTCGATTAAAAGGGAACAGTGTTCAGAATATGAATTCCATCACCTTGTTTTTTCTTTTAAAATACTGTGGTTGGTCGTGTATTGCTCAAAATGAGTTAAATAAGCGAGATTTGTATGAAGGGAAAAGGTTGTTTAGTTTTTAGGAGTTCGAAACATAACCAGTTTGCTTAAGTATAAATAGTATTATATTTTGAAAATTCATTTCATTTTACAATTAAGAGTGTCACTTTTGATGACGACACCTAACGAGACAGGAAAGATGGCCCCTGTCGGACATCATATTTATGAATTTCAGATAAATTATTTCGTATTGGAAACCCTGATGTCACTAGTTCGTTATTACTGCCCGTAAAATACATTTCATATTTTAAGACAAGCAGTTTAATTAATAATCTGTGTTATTTTTGTCTCTCTCGCTTGTTTCCCATTCATCACAAGTCCTCTGGGTCCTACATTTGCAGACCTTGCATTCCTTTAGCATGTTTTACGAATTTGTTGCGATCATATTTCGTATTCAGATGTAGTCTTTTAAAACACTCGAAATATGCATAAACCTGCTTTAAAACTTGACTAGCGAATATTGTATCCTTTATTTCATGCAAATTAAGTTAATATTGTTTGACATTTGGAATTTGCAAATTTCATTGGGCAGAGTCCATCTTAAGAAGCTAATGACGACTTATCATCTTCCTGTCCTCGCGTAGGTCATCGCTTCTGCTTTATTATCAATTATATTAAATATACCTCAGGCAATGGACAGTGTGCAGCGTAGTGTATAATGAATCAGCCATTGTCACAACCTTTGGAGATTGTGGATGCAGCCTCAAGGAATAAATAGGTGAGACACTTGCTGTTTGTTTTCAGGCGATCCTCGACGCGGAACAACACTCCATATCCTACACATTATCGAGAAACCAAGCTGTCATCGTCGAATACATGCCTGATGAAGAGAAGGACATGTTTCAGGTGAGATACAATCTTTCGCTGCATCCATATTGTGTTATTCTATGAACATTATTAATTTCTGTTACGGCAGAGTGAAACGCCTGTCTAGGATTGGATTTTTAGGTGGTGAGATGTTTGAGAAGCAAGAACTGGTGTCATTGCGTGGTTTCACAGATCGGATGTGCACTTGACAATATAATCTTGCCTTGTTGTACTCGTCATTTCGGAAGGTAGGATGACGATTGTCGTCTTCTGGGTTGTTTTTGCTGGTAGTCGCTTACCGACGTTTCAGAGGTGTAAAGCTCATAGTATTTTCTTCGTTCGGATATGATGTTCCGCTATTCTACACCGAGAAACGGGATATCGTATTGTTTTAATAAATTTTATTTCAATGAGGAGTTGAGTACTTTGTTGGTTGAGTACTTTGTTGGTTGCTGTTTCAACGCCATTTATTCAGATAGGAAGTTGGCTTAAAACCACGTATTGTAACGACACTGCTGAAAGCGGCACCTACCCACAATAACACTAAACTATGTTTAAACGCGTGATTAATGTTATTGGTCGTCTACGAGTGCTTGGTTGAGAAGTGGGATTGTTCTTCCGTTATTGGCCTTTGGAATTGTCTGTGGAATTAACTGTTAGCGAGTCTTTTATAAATGTTGGCAGTAGACTACGACATGAGATGGTCGAATGGGGTTTAGTTGTCGACAGGAAACGTTTTTTTCTTTTCGCCACAGCATCCAGACTGACTCGGGGGGCCTACCGAACCTCCTGTCAAATGGATACAACGGTTTATTTCCATGGGGGAAAGCGACCGGGGGCTTGGTGACGCACCAAAGGACACCTTTCTACCTTACACCTGTGTATATGTCGTGCGTGCATGCGTACGTGCGTTTGTGTGAACGCTGTACACTTATTGAACCATACAAACATTTGTATTCTTAGTGGACGGAAAAATTATGGTATAGAAGTAGAGTACAGTGTACCTTGAATGCAGTCAGGAAAGGGGACTGCAAACGTCTCGAGGGTCGTCGTCTCCCCCTTCTTTTTCTCTGTCTATTAATATCTTGTCTCTCGTACTTATGTGGTATTCTGAATGTTTAGTGCTGACAGGAACATTTCAGGGATTTCTTCCTGTTCGTTGTTACCTATGGGATTAACTTTCTTATACTATTATGTTAAAGAAAGCTTGGACACTTTTAAGTTCGTTAGATTCTACTAAGGAAGTTGGCCTAGATTTATACGTAGAGAAAAACTAAGTGTGTTCATGTCTTGTCACCAGATTGCAGGACAGCGATAACGATAACAGATCAGAACTCCGTTCGGGAAGAAATTAGAGTTAATTAAATTTGGGGAGTGCTTGCTACCACGCATTTCAGGACTGTTTTATATTTTCAGCTGCTGTCTAAAGACAAACAATTAATAAACATGACTGTAATCTTACATATTTTGTGTGGTTACCTTTCACATTAAGGAAAAAGAAAACAGATTGGACATCAGATTGTCTACTGTTACAGTTGTTTGTGGATACTTTTCTGTTAAAATGTTTACGGTGCGTTTCACCCTCGTTATAATGCGGTACCAGAGACCAGCTGATGGTCACTTAATAGGGACGACATCTTGACTCGTAACTGATGACTCAAAGGAAATCCGCAAAATTTAGTTTGGAGTGTTGATGAGGACTTACCTGTCGTCATTGCTTGCTGAGTCAATGAAATTTCCCTGTTTAACCTATTGCTTTCTCCCGTAATGCCGACATTTTACAGATTTTCGTGTTGTCTTGAGACATTGTAGGCTGTTATCAACTTTGTGTTCGTTTCTGCAGATTGGCCGGTCGTCGGAGTCGCCCATTGACTTCGTGGTAATGGATACAATTCCGGGGGACAAGATGGGCGAGAACAAGGTGTTGCAAAGCACGATATCACGGTTTGCATGTCGCATCCTTTGTGACCGCTCCAACCCACGAGTGGCACAGATCTATGCTGCGGGCTTCGACTCTTCGCGGAACATATTCCTTGGGGTGAGTGTCATTAGCGAACTGCTTGCACATGACAGCAGTGGAAGTGGCTACAAGAATTCGGCATCATGTTTACTACCCCCCACCCCGTGCCATAATTGAGCCATAGGCTGTACCAACATTTCAAGTGGAACACCATTAAATATGTAGGATTTATTCCCGTAGCGTCTTTCCCCATTCCTGTGTCTCCCCATCCCTGAGCGTGAACGTGGCGGGAATATTTCCCCGAGTGTGGTAATACACGATGTTGCTGGTTCAGTAATTGCTTTGAGGGTTGTTGTGCATTTTCCATATGTTCGCGTAATTTCGAGATTTCTGAAAGACTGCAGATAATCATTGTCGGTAATAAATATTTTAGGCTGTTACTATTAGACATAACTCGAGGGAAACACTGACGTATGCATTTTTCAGTTTCAGAGTAGGTCTTTTAAGTCACGTAATTTACTGTAGAATAGATTAAATTTGGGGAGTGTTTGTTACCATTCAGCTCATAGCATCCCGTATTAAAATGTTGATATTAAAATATACCTGTTAGGCTATTTGTTTTTGTGGAAATTGGTCTTTCATGCTAAGGGGGTAACGTAGATTAAAACTGTCTAAGAAGTTTGCTGATGAGAATATTTGGACGCAAGAAAGAGACAGAAAATTCTTATTGTGAATGTTCGATTTTCTAGAAACTCAAGTTTCAAAGCCACTATACTGTAATTCTGATGAAATAAGTAACATTTAATTATTATATTTCATGATCTCCTTTTGGGTAGTTCGGTAGTTTTCGAATCATTCAGCTCCCTTGTATTCGTTTATTCTTTCAAAAACAAACTGCATGGTGCACAGCCCCCGAGAAACTTGTAGTCGCTCAACTAGTCGTATTCCACGTATTTTATGGTACCCGAAGGTTTAATATAATGTTATAAATAACTTACCTTCACTCAGATTAAGATGTGTTGATTTTATAAATTTCGAAATAAATAGCTAAAAATTGTGCAACTGTTTATAATTTTCGTAGAGAAATTATCTTTTCTCCACAGCAGAATGTACAAATCTGAGAGGAAACAGCGTTCCTTTGTGACTGGACCCTACCCGACCTGATTTTATTTACATTGTGTGCTATTTCTGGCGTTCGACTACCGTTTTCCCACCCCAGTAGTTCACCTGTACAAGAATTCTGTTTACGACACCCAGCATTCTTCTTCCTTGCTTCCTTCAAATACTCTCGTTATTCCAGATATTACATT